TGAAAAACCAGCCATAAAGAAGACAAACTGTGCTTAAAACAGCCTGAGTTTAGGCATTTATTCTGCTCAAAACTCAGGAACACTACCTTACGACAGAGTATTAGGGCCACTGCATACATTTTTTTTTTAAATTCTGACTTTAAAGTCAGAATTCTGAGATTAAAGTCAGAATTCTGAGTTTAAAGTCAGAATTCTGAGAATAAAGTCAGAATTTTGAAAAAAATTTATGCAGTGGGCCTAATTAAAAAAAATGTATGCAGTGGCCCTAATACTCTTCCGTAAGTCTGTCTCAGTTAAATTTGATTTGTGTAGTATATCAATATAATATACAGTAACCTACAACTAATGTAATACAGTAGAAGATTTAAAGTAGCTATTTATTCTGTAAATATAAAAATAAAGCCACCAAACAAAAGGTTTTTCATTATTTATGCCATATATTACTGGATGATTCAACAAAATGTCATACTTTAAAATGAATCAAAAACAGAATTACATTTTATTACACATGACGGGAACCCAGTTTCCAGTTAAAATATTTATGCAACTTTGCAGTATTTTATCCTATGCAGAAAAATAATTCATACGTTTTTCGCAAGTCACATGATGAGTATTTCATTTTCACTTTTAGGTAACTGGAGGAAGTTGTGAAACGGTCATGAACTCTGACGCTGCCGGTTTTATGACTGTACAGACTGACTGCAGGTCAAATGGTGAAGGGAGCACAGAATTCAGAGAAAGAAACCATAACATAATATATATAAGTTCTGCCTGAAAAATGAATAGAATGAATTTACACATTAATGAAAAAAGCATAAATCTAATAAACTAAGGTAAAAACTGAAAAACATCTGAATCAGCCACATCATAGAAAGTCAGTTTAAAAGAAAACAAATAGAAGCCAAAATCATGGCTTCACATATTTATTAAGATCCTGTCATCATTTGGTTGCCATTTTGCACAGGTGACAACAACAATGACACTTTGTATCAATAACAATAAAAAACAAAATACATTAAAAAGATTTAAAACAATCTGTAAAAGACTTTTTTGTAATGGTCATTTTCAGGAGGGTGAAACTGGAACATTGATGATTACTGAACCATTAGTGGACCCTAAATAACAATAAGTGACAGTGAGTGGTTTTTGCCTTAAATCATGTACTCCTAATTTATCCACTACTATACAATAGTTTGAAAGATTTTCTAAATGTGTAAACATCCCAGTCTGTGAAGATCTTTTCTTTCAGCATTAAGTTAATCAGAGTGCTTCAAATCCAGATGTAAGAACATTTAGGCAAGTGGTCTGCCCCTTCTTGTGAAATATTAAATAGAGAACCACTGTAAGACTCTCAGAGCAGAGCAGTTCCCAGACCACATGCTCTGTCATCATTTTGTGCTACTGTAGAAAGACAAATGCCTGCTACTCAAAGAGCATGTTTTACTCTGTAGACATGCAGCATGAAGGCAAATCTGACAGGACAGACACTTAACTAGAGAAAAAAAATATGCATTGGTTAATTTTTTTTTGAGAGGGCGAACTTATTTCTTGTGTAGTTGTAGATAAATGAATACAGATTCACATTCTGAGCTGCGTATACTGACGACATCCAGTATAAGCACATCTGAATCACTGAGGTGTGACACCAACACACCAAACATCAGTTGTTTCGGTAAGTGGTTAATCTGGTCACAGACCAGGCCTTGTGTTCAGACACAGTCAACTGCCTTATGACTGCATGGCCACACAAAGTAGCTTCTTCCTCCACTTGTCAGTCCAACATCTGACAAATGGTGCATTTGTTTTATCCCACATAGATAAACTATCTGTCTTCAGGGCAACCAGAGGACCCAATAGAACTCAACAGATTCAGGTGACACATCTGCACCACCACCACCACCACCGCCGCCACCACCTCTACTACTACTACTACTACTACTACTACTACTACTTTTTATTTTAATCTTTATTTCTATAATACCTTTCATGCAAAGATGCAATTTCACAAAGCAGGATTTAAAACAATAACAGTAAAACCAATGGGGAAACTTATATACACAGCAAAAAATAAAATAAAAAAAACTTAAGAGCTGACCATGTAAAACTGCATCAGAACAAAATCAGATTTAAAAAAAAACTGTCCACTTTGAATCTACAATTTTTGCTCATTCAAATATTAATGTCAGGTAATAAAAGAAACATCATTTACTCTGCTGCTCTGAATTGTGCAGTTAACCAACATTATCCTCTTAACCTTACTTCAACATGGTTACCTGAGATAACTGCTACTACGCAAATGGAAAGGAATGATTTAGGAACTATTATTTAGTTGTTGTTTTTTTTAAATACAGGGTTATTTCCTTAATTGCAATAACTAAATAATGTTCAGAATACTGACAACAATTTGATAAAATCAAATGCATCATTTCAGGCTTATTGCATTTCTATTTGATTGTATAACAGTACTTCTAGACAAAAATTAGAAAATAATCCCACTATTTTATTCAGTTGTGTTCATTCCCATATTTCCACCATATGACTGTGTTTATTTAAGAACATTACATACTTATTTTCTGCAGGAAATCCATGGTTAAACTTCTGTTGATTTTCCACTTAGACTTTCATCACCCTGTAATGCAAGATACCAAATATATTGTGTTATACATCAATAACAAATAAACAAATAACAAACCCATTCTTAACAAAACAATCACGTTCTTAGCTAATAATGTTTATCCATATGCTTTGGAAAACTGCTGTGTCAAAATATGTATTCAGTGTATTACTGGAAAAGATTTTTTCCAGAAGCAGAATGTCGAGTTTAAGTTTTTGTATAAACACTGTCAAATCTTTTTCAAACCCTCAGGACTGCTGTCATTAGCGTAGTGCAGCTGAAGCCACAGCCAACTACACAATGTGCACCTGTACCTGAGCTTTAGCCAGATGTGGAGGTTTCAGGGTGACGCCTGGTTTCTTTCTAGTAACATCAGGAGAGCTGTTTCTGGTCAGGCTGGGGGTCCAACACAGTGGTGGGCAAGGCTTTGAACTCTTGGATGCAAGTGAAGAGTCGTCATCCACTACCTCTCCACCAATGGCAGACAGGCAGCTGTGGTCTGAGCTGCTGAAGACGTCGATGTATTCCCCGGATGATTCAGTGCTGCCCACTGAAGCAGAAATACATCACACTTTGAGAAGCAAAGAAGACTGAGGTTGGTGCATTACTTCACACTTTAAGAACTGATAATAAGTTCAAATTCCATAACAGCATCCAATAATGAGCTGATCCCTGAGGAAAAACTGTCCATTCGCTCTAGATGTGGTACATACTAGTGGTAATCCATGTCAATACTGATGTCACCAGATGGCGGCAAACAAAGTAATTTTCAAATCTGCAGTGGCTTACATAAAAATATTCAAAGTGGTACTACTTTTGGTTTATAATTTGCTTGATACAATGTCCATTTCAATCAATATGATTTCTCATTTAGAGCCTGGGGGCCTATTGAAGAAGTCAACAACACAGGCCCTTCTGTCTCCTGACAAAAATATTAATTTAGACTTAACAACAAACTCACTCAGAGCATAACAGTTATGATGAAGATGATGACTGCTGGGTCCACTGTCAGTCACAGCTTCAGGGGAAGAGCAGGCAGCAGGACTGGCCTCTACTCCCTGTGACTGGTTCCCAGGATAACCAGCAGGCGGCAGTGAGCCCCGGCCAGAGGAGGAAGACGATTGGCTGAGGGTGGTGGAGGCAGTGCTGCCAGAGCCAACCGAGTGCGGCCGTGGATAGTCTAAGTCCCTGTGTGAACAATATGCCACAGGGACTGACAACACACATAGATGTCATCAGGAGAAAATGATGGTCTGGGTTAGTGAATAATTAGGATGTAACCAAATTATTATTATTATTCTTTCCCAAATGCATCCTCTTTTTTTGCCAAAGTGATGAACCAAGCATCACAGTATTTACAACCTTATCAATTACTAGAAAAAGCCTAAAAAAAATTCACAAAATGCATACTGTGCCACCTGTTTGGAAACTGGAACAAATGAGAATTTACCTGAAATGTGTATTAAAAGCATCCATTACATTGTTTTAGTATTTTATATTTAAAGAATAACACATCTATTAGATGCTTACAACTAACAGATTCAGTGAGTTTAACCAAACAGGTAGCCTAGATAATTTGGTTAAACTTTGTACTTGTTTTTGCAGTTTTATTTACTTTTTTAACTTTGTATTTAAAAAGTGTGTAAATCCATATCTTCATATACTGTATTTCTACGATTGATTTGGTAAATAACTGACAGGAAGGATGGTTCTGTATAAAGTATGAAAAAAACCACTGAACCTTTGTCAAGGTCCTGCAGTACCATGAAACAATATCAACACCTGTAGATTTAATAATAAATCAAGTGGCAATGAACATGTTTTGAACTGTGAAAAGTTGTGTGCAGCTCCTTACTTCTCCCAGGAAGGACACAAGTGAGGGCTTGGTCACACGTTGCAGCATCACTGGGTTGAATGTCCATGAATGGTTTGCGGCCCATTCCCATGAACACCCTCTCCTGAATACACAGTTCTGGAACATAAAGTATATTCATGATGTGTTTTTCAGATCTATACAGTACTTTGTACACTGTATTCTTAGGTAAGTGCTATATTAACACGGTATGTGATTGCTGTTACAACCTCTGCTGTGAGCGGCCTGATTCCACAGGATCCCCTCCAGGTCGGTGGTCCAAGCTTTCTTCACCTCCATGCTAGATGCCTTCAGAGTGTAGGTATCTTCAGTTTTCCTCCTGCGGAACCAGATCTCAAAACACAGCCCACTCACGCTAGAGTTATGGGTCATCCCAATATCGCTTGTCTGGGAGAGAAAATACAAAAGAGACACAAAAATTTAATTGTATATCAAGCCAGACATTTAAAGCTGCAACAGCCTTTTGATGAACAAGAGTATACACAGACCTTGAATGACTGCTTGTAGACATAAACATCATTGCCCACATCTGTTCTCTTGGTCTTGCTGAAGAGGATTAAATCTTCGAAGAGAAAGATGCGGCGGACACATTTCTTCTTCCTAAAGTAAACTGTGAACTCGTCCTGGCGAATCAGCTGGCCCTGCTCTTTTAAATTCACCTGACAGATTAGAAGAAAGTACAGCAGTGCAGAAGCTAAGAGACTGTTAACCACATGTAACTACTGTGTTTCAGATATAACTGATCTATCATGCTAATATCTTACATCACAGTCCTGGATGGCGTCCATGGTGAGCAAATCGTTCCCGTGTCGCATCTGAAATCGAACCAGATCCGCAGCAGCCTGGATCTCAGCCCTCTCCCTCTCACTGCTCGTCAGATCAGGCACATACACACCTGGGCCACACACACTTTGCGCGCGCGCACTAGATGCCAGTAGGGTTTCATGGATCGTATCTTTTGGCCTGTGTGAGCCGGCCAGGGTCAGCATGTCCTGCAGCAGGAGGCTATATTTACTGATCCTCTGGATGGGTCTCAGCAGGTAGGACGAAAGGTCCATCATGTCCTCCAGCTCTTGTTGCTTTTTCTGTGAGGGGGAACAAAGTGTCAAGTCTGAAAGGTAAAATATAGTAGTGACACTCCGGGATTAGGCTTGTTATAACTACTGCCACCACCAGAGCTGCAAATTTGGAGAGCCAAACGTACTGTACAACCCATTTACCATCTGACATTTTATGAGTGCTTTATTTCTGAGTGTGAAAATTCCGCTCTATGAATGTCTCTTAGAAATTCCCACAATGGGACAAAATATACTGTGTAAACTGACCTTGAAGATGTCATGGCGACGGTGTAGGATGAGAGCGTCTGACTGAGGTTTGTTCTTGCTGTACAGGGCGTACAAGCCAAAACTCTCACTCTGTGGAAAAATCCCAGCTTAAAATTTACTGTAAAAGTTATGTTAACAATAAACCAGATTGAACTCTTAGCAGTGACACATAGCTGCAATAATAATAAAAAATATAATTCATGATGATCATATTAGTGAAACTCTGTTACTGTCCATGTCTACTTCTGGTCTCCCATCTTGAGAAAAAGAGTGGGACTATTTAATCTGACATCATGACATTACTAATTTACTTTTAAAATTGTTTCAGCAGTCCAATAATAACAAATACAGAGATGAACACAATAAAATATACCATCAACAATAGCAACATAAATAATTCAATGACAATTTAAAACATTATATACAAAAATATAATACTATTTATACAATTACAGCTAATGCTCACATGTCTGAGAAAGCAGCGGGCCACCATGGCGGGCTCCCCCTGGCAGGCCTCCAGCTCGGGCAGGAAATAGTGACTGTGGAAATCATAAAGCTTCTCCAGGTTGCCAAAGATGACACCTCGCTTGCCCCTGAGGTCCTGGGGTATGTCTGGTCTGTCCAGCAGGGGGAGGTAGTGGGTCAAGATGTAGCCCAGAGAGCGGACGTACTCCCTCTCTGTGAGCACCAGCTCCTCCAGGACACGCTGCAGTCTCCTGATGGCAAAAAGGCAACAAATATCTCATAACCTCAAACACAGACTGGTACCTAGTGCACTCAGGCACATAAATATATTTCAGCATTATATCTAATAATATATTTATTAACCAACGGTGGATGTTTTTCCTGCATCAGTTCAATCCAGATAATAGTCAAGTTTTTTTTGAGTACTTTCTGCCTACTGCAACTGATTATTAATTAGTGTTGATCTCTTAGCCGTTTGAAATATGCTTGTAATAAAAGGATATTGATAAATTAACTTAGGACTTTTTTAGTAATCGTGATTTCTGTGTTGTACAGCCCTCTCATCCATAAATATTGTTTGGAAAAACAATTTTGCCACAATGATATTTACATCTCTTAAATTATACATAATTATCATTAATTTTATTTTACAATATCGGCAAATGACACAGTCACATGCTGTCATTTTACTCTCTACATGCATTGTGAAAAGAAACAAGCATGGACAGATTAGGAGACAACAGGCCCCTGGGTGCCCCCCCACAGTATGTCACAGCTCTTCTGCTGACAAATATGAAAACTGCTTTACCAGTTTGCACTGGGTTGCTATTAAATGAGAAGAGGACAAAAATAAGATTAGGATATCTCACCGTTTGACAAATTTCACTGAGCTTCCAATGAGATAAATTGCACTGTTAGTAGTCACTGAGGGTCTGTGCCCAGTATGCTTTTTCTGTAATCTATTCATGATGCCAAATAAAAAAAAAAGAAAGAAAAGAAAGTCAAAAGAAACAATACCTGTAGTGCTTCATTGTCAGCTTAGAGACAGGGAAAAACGTGCATGAAGACTCAAATGACTGATAAGATTAATAAAATTAAAGGCATATCATTCATTTTTTGCAGCCAACTCAAAGAATATTACTTTTCCACACAAATATCTGATAGTTCAGAACTTTATTGTCAGCAATGTTAGCACATTTCCCATATTAAACTTACAGCGCATTGCTGGTGCTTTCCTGTGGATTTGCCAAACAAAACACCCCCTCGTATCTCCCGACGGGCAGGCTTGAGTGTTTGCAGTATGCCCCATTACCCCCTGCAGCACATCGGTCACTCATACAGGTGTCCTCAGAGCAGAAGCTCCCGTGGCGGGAGATTTGAAACTTCTGAGCCTCGTGAAGGATCCGACAAGATGGCTGACCGTGGTGGGAACAGGTCGATGGGGGTCGAACCTGCTGCTCTGGATTAGGAGATGACCCTGCTGTTGCTACCCCTGTCAGGCACGAGTCCTGGCTCACTGACCTCAGTCTCAGACCTCGTCCCCAAGGAAACCACTGGCAACCGACAGTGTGAGACTGAGACAGAGCAGCAGCATCTCGTTCAGTCCTCGCTCTGCTCATCTGTCTCCTCCTTGTCTCTGCTTCCGTCCCCCTTGCTGGTCTGTTACAAGAAGATTCACAAACACTGAGTCAGGACCTGATGTGTGTTTAAGTGGCAGGGACATTTAAGGAATCTCAAAAACTAGACTTATGAACCCCTCTCAAGTGACATAAATGGACCAAGTTGTACATTACCTGTGAGGTGATGGTGGAATGACCTTTGACCCCTGGTTGATTCCAGCATCACTGTGATCCTCAGGTTTCACAATGTTACAGCAGGCTACATTTGTTAAATCAGTGCTGTTGTTGCTAAGGATCGGCCTTCTCTTCCAAAAATCCTCCACACCCTCCCACTGCGGGTGCCAAGACCCAGGGGTAGACTGTACCACTAGACTCTGCCCACCGGGTGATGCTGTCTGAACATTAGTGCTCACCACATCAACATAAGGACATTCACACCAGCTGTTAGAATCTGGATGTTGGTGGTAAACCTCATGCACATCCTGCATCCTCTCCTGAAGCTGCTGCCTGGCTTCCTGACATCTCAGCCAGGCTACGTTCCAGACACGCTTCGCCCTGGAGCCCCGCAAGACACTGGCCTGTGCCTTCATCTCCTGAAATCTCTCTGGGCTGAACTGGAGCAACCTGTCTTGGAAAGTCTTTAGGATGGAGCTGTCATTGGCCGACAGTGAAACACTGGTGGTGACTGGGCCAGAGCCACGTATTGCGTGGATAAGAGACTGGCCAACAGATGCGGTGCTTGGTCCGGGGTCTTGGCTTTGCTGTTGTATTTGCTGAGAGTTTGTTTGATTGATAGGTGTTGTATTTTGATGGTTGTGCACTGTGTGCATTCTGGATTGACTCAGGTTCAGATAATCAGTGCATTCATTGGCCAGAGCTGTAGCCTATTTGCAAAAGAGATTTTCTTTTATTATACAAAAGAAAAAAAAATTCATGTTCATATTTTCTTTCTGTCTTTTTTTTTTTTTAAACTCAGGCACCAATACTACACTACATACTGTATGCTCTAATGAACGGTTCACACCGAAGTATGTCAGCAGATTTTCAGATACTTTAATTATAATGTTTTCAGTGTGAGGTGAGGTGACTGTGTCTTCTGAGTAACATGACAGACATCTTCTTATTTGGTCTCTACGAGAGTCTTTGTCAGTTTTAATATGAGTACACCCTACCAATCAATCTCTAAGACTGAAAAGAGAAAAAAGCATCAAATGCAAAATGTTCCTGTCTCATAACAACATAATTTAATGTAGCATTACTGGTTTTAGAATGAACTGTACAGTTGCTCGGTTACATTAATGTGTCTGCTTAAAATCACTCATAAAAACTGCAGTGAAAATGAGTAAGCATTTTGGGCCAGGAGTTTCTGCAGGGTAAAAACATAACTCAATACTGAAAACCTGAATGTGCAATACTTATCTTACACCCACCTGCTCACAAAAATCACACAGGTTGACCATGACCTGCAGCTGCCTGCCACATGCTTCTGCCCTGCACAGGAAGTCCTCCAGGCCTGACTTGAAAGTGCAGACTAGAGCCCTGAATGCCTCCACCTCTGGGTAGGAGAGGCCACTCTGCTGCAGATGCTTTGCCTCTGAAACTAACAACATGGCATGGTGTCTTCGGTCCTAGGGAAGGAGAGGAGAGAGATTCAGACTGGACAAGCAGAGAAACATAAATATATACACAATGACAGCCACAAGCAAATGCAGACTCACATTAGCTTCTATAAGGAAACCAGTAAAGCTGGTGAGGACCTGCTCCATCCTGTCTCCAGAGTCTTCAACAGATTCAGCCTCCAGCAGGTGGCGTTCTCCTTCTACATTAAACCACTGCTGCATCTACAGAGATGATGCAAAACAATACTGTTTTTGAAAAGGAAACATGTACATAATCTACAACACATTTTCTGATTAATATCTTTTTAGTACAAGAGCTAATATCCTCCTAGACTAACTCCCATAAAACACTGTTATAAGGTACACAATTATATAAAATACAGACTCCTCACCATACCCACACCACAGTCTATGACCCACACATGGTAAATTATTGCCACTACACCACAGAATCAGTGGACTTCAGTGCATCCAGGAGCATTATCATGCCAGAGGCCCGCTATAAGTAAATTGCAACAAAGCAGGAAGTTGTGAAGATGAGTTATACAGTACTTGTGTGAAGTGTCCCTCCATCTCTCTGAGTTGCAGCAGGTACTCCAGGTGTTCCAATGACATGTTGGACCTCTGCACAAGCATGTGAGCCTGCTCCTCCACGTGGCTGTACAGGCTGGTCACAGAGTCCACTGGATCACTGGAGTAGATAGCAAATACAATTGTCATTATTTTTAACATTTTGTCACAGTTTTTCTTCATAATTATTTTATGATGTGGTGGCTGGCAGGAGCATATTTATTCTGGTGGATTATTTTCTAGTAGTAAGAGTCTGAATTCACAGGGTTCATCCTGAAAAGACTGGTTTCTCAGTGTTTACCCAAGGTCGTCACAGTGGGGGTATTTGAGGTCACGCTCCTTCCTCAGCCTAGCCAGGATGGACCCGCCCTCCCTCTGCAGGCTGACCAATCTGCTGTCCTCCAGTACATCCCTCATAAAAGTCCTCTGGTCCATGATGCACTGCTGCACCGTCTGTTAGACAGCATGACATGTTACAATCAGCAAATGACATTTACCTGTGTGCTTTTATAATAGCGACAAAGGTTATTATCCTTGTAACAACACATTGTACAGTATATAGTGTATTGACAGTGAAGACAGACATAACTTGGGAAAAGGTACCTGTACAGTGTCCGTCCTCTGGGGCTCCTCTAACTTACTGACGGCTCTCAGTAGCAGGCCGGACACCTCATGAAGATCAGATACGAATGGGAAGAGTTTCTAGACAATTAAAGAAAACCCTGAGCAATGGAAAAAAATGGGTGCATCTTGGGATAAGAGAGAAGAGCAGCACAGAAAAGGAGAAACAGGCGATGTATTGAGGTGACTGTCTCACCTGGTGCAGCTCCACCCAGTCGCACTGGCTGTGAGACAACGTGCCATCCAGGCGGGGGCTCAGCTGGCTCACCTCCACCAACTTGAACAAGGCTTTCATCGAGGTTACCACATCAGTCTGCTTTGACGGCACAGATATCAAATTAACATCGACATCTTTTCACAGGCGGATTCTAATTTCATGTGCAGTTGGGCATGAAGTGCTTTTACTCAGCGCACTAGACATTTTGCTGCAATGTTTATGAACTTCTTACTGTGTGAAATATATTATTTTCCTTTCTCTTCAGTAAAGCTACTGCAGTGTGCTTTAAATATACTAGAAGTTTAAGGGTGTATTGTGCAGGTTTTTGAACCACTGAACAAAACTATGATGAGTTACTCATCAATACTAACTGCTAGATAATAGAAACTTTACTTCCCAGTTCATATTCTGTTTATGAACCAAGCTAATATTTTAGAAACATGGTCAAAGAGCATACAACTTATTGTTTTTTCTGGTATTTCTTTTGGGTAACCAGGCCAAAATATTGCTCAGGTTTGGTAATATTTTTTCTTATTTTACTTCTTTTCTCACACCAGGAAAAATGTATATTGTGTATTCAATATGGATGCAACTCTCCTGATTGTAGTTAATATTTTGGTCTATTAAATTCAAAAATGTCTCATGGTAAATGCACCTGTAAACAATTTCTTTGATGAAAGATGAGTGGTAGGTTGAAAAAGCAGCAACTGCAGGAAGACAAAAAGGCCTTACAGCGGCTCCTAAAGGTGACAGTCAGGTGATGATAGATTCTTTTACTGGATAAGTGAAAGCTGTGGCAAAATTTCATGACAATCCAATATTTGTCAAGTCACTCAAAAAGTCAATAGAAATCATTCACTGTGAGTGAATGCCTGTCCAAAATTTCGTGGCAATCCATTTTTACCCAAGATATTTTCAATCTGGATGGCCCAACAAATCAACTGACCTTCGGACAGTACTATCTCTAAAACCACACAACTTCCATGAATAAAAATGAACTTTGATCAAAAAGGTTATTACACAGAAGTGTTTCTTCTTATGCAACATCCTACAATAAAAACTTTAGAGTGAAAAGCCGACCTGGACCCCAGGACATCTCTCTGGCCAGAGGTTGCCGTCCTTGCCCACCAGCAGCACCAAACTATTAATAGCCTGTGGAGTCTGCTCCTGTAACAGTTTAACATTCCATGAACCCAGCTTAACCACATTCATGCATCATTTGCATAATTTTTGATTACACCCTTTAATACAATACGTCAATACAAAAGTCAAAAACGTGGGTGTCAATAGAAACATTTTCCTTTTCACATTTTATAATGTCAACATGCAGTAACTGATATCAGTGATAAAAAAACTGTATGGCCCTTGCAAATATAAATTGTACAATACAGCCTGTTGATTAATAAATACAATCCTATTATTATACAACAAATTCTACCTCTGATTACAAATAAGTGAAGGAAAAATCTTCTGTTACATGGCTATTTAATAAACTGGAGAATGTCTCAGGAGCAGATACATTACTGACTTGTACTTCTTACCTGAAACAGCATCAAGGCCTTATAGAGCTGCGGCTGAGGATTTGTCTTCCTTGCATCGAAAATGAGTGTCATCCCAGCATCTCTGATTTCTCTCCTACAAGAAGCCAAAACCGCCTTTAATGTACACGTTGTTTAAGTTTTTGACTGATCATTTTAACTCTTCTTTACCTGGTGATAGAGTGGAAGTAGAGCAGCATTTGGAAGAGCTCCCAGCTCATTACATCTGACCTCCATCCTTGGTGATCTCCGTAGAGCTCAGTTATTGCCCTGCCAGTCCTGTCTCTGCCGCCTGAAGGAGTTAGAAAGAGGAAAGATGAGGGAATGTCTAAAATGCTGTTCTCCGTTTGTGAGAATTTCCACTAAACTGTTCCACCTCTCTGTGGTCCTATTGAAAGAGACTTCCTTCATTCCAAACAGTATATAGTCTTACATGGAAGAAGTACACAAAGGACATCAGTCAGTGCAATTTTCATTAAAACATTTATTTAGTTAATAGCTGTAAGTAATGTGAAAAAAGTGTAATCCTGCTTTTGTCACGCTTCTGCAACTACTGCGTGTGCATTATATTGTTGTAGTTGATGCTATTTATGGCATTTCTAACTACTCTACCTGTGAGAGATGCAACTCCAAGATAGAGGGGGTGCGCTCTGGGGTCTGGGGAGCCCAGTGGGAGGTGGTCAGGTCTTGGACAAGCAGAGGCAAGCTGGGGAATCTTTTGTGTCGCTGCTGCTGGTTTTGTCTTTGACGTGTTCTCCATCTGATGGCCATTTCTACTGGTTATGGATGTATCAGCAGGCTGAGAACCATCTGAGAATGAGAATACATTTTGTTGTAGGGAGAGAGATGAAGACTAGTTGCTAGCCGTAACAAAACCTGAATGAAATGAACCAAACAAATATGCTAAACATTAGAGTAGAGTATATAACAAGACCTACACAACTCTATACCTTGAATGACCATCTTCCTCCTGTTGATTTTGGGTGAAACCAGTCCAAAAGCTGTGCTGTTTTTACATTTGACCACATGTAGTTGGGGAATCTCTGCAGAGGAGTCTGTATTCTCTTTTCTCCTGACATTTTGACCATCAACGATGACGACTTCACATCTCTCTGAGGTGTCCACCACCATTGTGGAGAGGGATGACAATCTTGCATATGACAAGGATTCTTGTCTATTTTGTGGCGTGGTAAGAGACTTAGTAAAGTCTGGACTTGTCTCTGTGGAGCTGGTTCTGTTTTGCAGCCTTTCACAAGGTTTGTGAGCCATATTCATCCCTGAGGTTTCACCTGAACTAAACCATAATCCATGGTGTTTAGCAGAGATCACATCTGACTGTTTGGGGTGACTTGAGCTTGACAAACCTCTATTAGTGTTCATCCTCATTCCTGATGGTAAATTTGTCCCGTTTGCATTGTGTAACTTGCCATAAGGTTTGTCAGAGTGTGCATCCTTTAGTTCTCTAAGTGGTACAGCTGTTCTTTCAGTTGTCTCTTCTGGTAGCCCATCATATTTTAAAGCATTTGAACCCCTGTACTCCATACAGGGAGCAGCATTTATATCTCCTGATTTCCATTGTGGAACAGTGTTCCTTTCTCCTGACTCCTTACAGATGGCTCCACTGACACAGGAAGGAGACTGGTCTTGAACATCACACTGTGGATTGCCCACTTCTGGCCCTGGTGGCCACCGCCTGTCATCACACTGTGAGAAATCACCATCCTCTTCCACCACAGCTAACATGTTACCCCTCTCTTTCTCCTGTCCAAATGTGACAGGGTTTTCTATAGCAGCTTGGTAGGATTCCCTGTATCGACATCTCGGCTCATGACCTCTGATAACCTTTCCACCTTGTCTCCTCCTCATGCACGGGGTACAGGGTTTCTCCGAGAACTGGACAGTGCGGGCACACTGAGAGGATTCAAGGGAGTCAGGGTCAGGGTGACAGGACTGGAAATGGTGTAGAGCAGATGGAGGTCCTGTTTCTGCAGACTCATTGGGCCTTAAAGATACAGGAGCCTCTGCAGTAGAATGACTATGTGTTTCTAGTTTTGTAGGTAAATACACATGTGCTTGTGACTGTGCTTGTGGAGGTATTTTTGTGTTTGTCTGTGTTTGCCTGTACAACTCCATTTGTGCTTGTCTGTGTGGATGCCTTTGTGTTTGGAATTGTGTGTATGGTTGCATTTGCACTTTTAATTTCTGCTGTTCTTCAGTTATTAACTGAGATCTACCAAAAAGCATAGGTGCCTGAAGTATATATTCCCCTTCTAGAGTAACGTGACTGGTTGGTCCACTTCTGCTTGTATCTGTAATATTTGAATCGCTATGTTTATGTTCCCCTATATTTTCAAAAACAGTAACACTCCTTTCTGCAGCATTGCATGTGATTGTGTCTCCACTTGCAGGGGTGCATGGACTTAAAACAGTGCTTGTATTTGTAGCTGTAGTTTGATCTTTCCCAGTAAAGCGGCTGTCCCACATATTTGGGGACACCCAGCCTATAGGCCTAGGCTCTTTTTCTTTCACTTTGACCAGTCTAGGTGAGGTAGCACTAGTATCCACCAGGCAGAGTGACACAGCAATACCATCCTTTGCTGGACATATTCTGGTCTCAACAGCGAAGGAAGAAGGATGTGAAGATGTTGAAATTGAATTATGGATGGTTATAGGATACTGTTTTGGTGCAGATTCCTTTGAAGGAGAAAGAAGAAATGAACAATTTGATAAAGACTTCTCAGAAAAAGTAGGAAGAGGTGGAAGAGGAGAAATCGGAGATGATAAAGGAGGATGAGAGGGAGGAGCAGAGGCCATACTACTCCCAGCACACCGTGGCAAATCCACAAAATCAGGCACGGCCACCCGCTCCCATGGTAACCTTACTATGCCCTGCTCAGTGGCGAGCAGGCACTGGCTGAGAGGTGTTCCACAGCGGCTCTGGTTGGTCTCCTCTAACCACTCACGGCTGAATATACAAGGATAGGAAGTTTCAGGGACTGGGGTCTCCTCAACTACTTCCACTGTCAGCCCCTCCTCTTCCAAGAGGCTGCAGACAACAATGCGAGCGGATTGGTCACAAAATGGTGCCACCTGGAGGTAAAAGTCACCAGGCTGTAGTACCAGGGGGTTGAGTGGAGCGAGATGGATGACAACTCGGTCATGCAAACACAGAGGCCAGCCCTCACAGAGGAAAAGTACATCAGAGTACTGAGCCTGAATGGGGACAAGGGAATGAACAGTGCAGGGTTTTTAAAATTTGAAGTATGCCAACATTTTTGTCTGTTTTTATTATGATATTAAATCCAATAAGATCTTAGGGCAACTTTATTCCATATTAACAAAAGTAGTGAATATATGTCTATTTAGACTCTTGCACAAGCTTGGCACATCACTGTGGTGTACAACACAGTCACTTACACATGCAGCCTGCTGCACAGTGTCTAAGATGTGCTTGGCTGGGACAAGAAAGTCCAGCAGGCACCGCAGGGCGTCTCCCTGATAACGACTTTCAATGATTTGGAAGAGCTGGCTGAGAAGAGTGGGGGCGGTGGCCTCAAAGGGCGGGTACAGCACTGACAGCAGGTTCTGGATCGAGCCCTCCAGAGAATCAAGGTTCTGAAAACACGAGAGAGGAAAGCAGATGCTGAAGAAAACATGAGTTGCAGACTGAGACACAGCTTGTTCCCCAGAGCTGTGAAACCAATCACTTCCCTAACCCCCAGTCACACACACACACACACACACACACACACAACCTCCCCCCTATGGACATGGACAGACACAGAACACTGGACCTCTGCAGACACACACCCATGCTCACACCTCTTCCTAAAGACTGAGATTTGCACTGAGCTGCACCTTATAATGTTACTACACTCTTTTGCTGCTAACATGCTGCTGACCTGATTAGATCCCATACATCCCTTTTTATCTACTCTTTGTTTTATATTGACTTATACAAGTGTGTGTTATGTAAATAATGTGTCTTTTAAGCCGAGACAGACCGGAAAAAAATTTGTTGTGCTATGCATAATGACAATAAAGATTCTTGACTCTTACAAAATAGGCAGGCCATGATCTGTAGGTGGTACATTGTACGGATGTGCACCAGTGATTTCCTCCCATATTTTTATTATTCCTCAGCTGCTCGGCAATAGAATATACTGTGCAAACTGCCCACCAGGATTGTCTTCAAACTGCCTGGTTAGAAGCTGGAAACAACAAATATTTGGCATTTTTGCTTCATAAATGATGGCATGTCAAAATTGTTCAGTAATTTTCTAGAAATCAAACTAATGAACTTATCATGTCACCTAAATTGCTAAATGCGACTTTAGCGTTTTGTTAACCACACAAACCATTTCATTAAACCTCCCATGTTCAGCCACTTCCATCTGACTAGCGTCTTACACAGGCTTCATCCACAGCTTCATTAAATAAACTGTATAGTCAGCCAGCCTGACAACAAACATCTGAGTAAACACAGTGTCTGATGGCTGCTCTCAAGGCTAGCTTGCCTCATGGTTTTGGTTTCCGATTCCCTTTGACCTGAACTCATGGCTGGCTACCCCGCTTTATTTAACCCAGCAATGCAGTGTAGCAGACCTCAGGGGGCTGATGTATATATACACATACATGGCGGAGGCCCTGTGGGGAGATATATGGCATTAGGAAGGCTGATGTGTGAATGTCAATGCATAACAGAAATGTTGCTGCCTTTTTTCCAGGTATGTGCTCATTAGTTTTTTATGAGATTACACACATGTAGGAGAAAACAAGACACTGGAGCCAAATAGAAATGGTTCAACATTTTGGGAAATGGCCCTATTCACGTTCTGGTGCTGCCTGTTTAACAGTTTAACAAGATTCTCCTCGCCTGACTTTCCACAAGAAAGCAAATACCATTATTTTCCTTATTTGTCCAATTATCCTTTATTGTAGAGAAAAGCAACAGCCAGGATAACTTCAAATCCACTAATCCAACTAACTGAGATTTTGTTTGGATAAATCATTTTTCAAACATTCCCAGCTGCAGTGATGAAGAAAGACAGTTAGGGATATGGGAGATGGGAGATGGAAGCAGAGAAGGGTGTGTCAGGGTGCGAGCAGTTATGTGCCCTCAATACCAGCTCATTGCATTTCCAGCATTTCAAGTCCTTCTTTACACATTTGAGGGGAAGCATTTTGCACTCTTGGCTTTCAAAGGACATCAAGACTTGCAGGACCTGCACTGTATAATACCTAGACTTTCTCACTATGTTCTCTTTCCTGTTCAGAGTAGTTACGGCCCTGTATGTTTATCGTTTCTTATGTTATTCCCACTGCCTGTTGTAATTCTTTTCTTTGAAGCAACAATGCCCATCACCTCCCTCTCTGTTGTATCCCCTTACACTGTCATCTAAAAACGCTGGACACAGCCAGTCCCCAACCCCCACAGCACCAGAAACAACACTGTGACTCACAGCTTTCTGGTCAGTGCTGCCACACCCCGCTGGGATGGTCTTCATGCTAACATGAAGGAGAAGGAAGATAATAGCAATGGAGGCAGTGGTGGTAGCTGCCAAATAAGAGGGGGGTGTGGATGCTAGCAGACTCAGAAGCACATTATGTAATGTGCACATTTTCACTTCGCAGCTCATGAATTTTAAATAAAATGTTTTCCCATCCAGAAGACAATGATCACCTGCTTCATCAACTTCATCAAAATGTCAGTGAGTCACCATTTTCCCATACTTGTTAAGGGAGGTCTAGGCTTGAGCAGATTATTTTAAGCAAATTACAGCTCAAAGATTGCAGAAATGTATTCTTAAGAAGAAAACCAAAAAGTGATGTTTGGTTGGATCAAATGAATAAACACGCAAATGCTAAAAGATTTGGAAAGCTCACAAGATTTATCTCGAAGAGCATTAACAGAAGCAAGACATTTTTGGTTACTGTATGTTGCTTCCAAGGATTCATTTAAAACCTACTTGAAAATGTAATGCTGCAAAACTATGATTTCATTGTTGAGTGTGTGTTTTCTTTATTAATGCGTTGTTATTTTTGTGTCCGTCTCCAGCACGTGGTGTATGGACTTGTCTCTCAGCATACTGTTGCTGCAGATTCACACAGCTCTATATAAACATCCAGATCGCTCTCACTCAGTAGCTGAAATAAATAACGACGCTCACATTACTGTGGATAAGATGTCCCACTATGGGAGCTGAAGACAGTTTGAATATCTCTGTCCAGTGTCATTAAGAAACAGAAATAGCCTTTGCACATTCCTGATGTCAATCAGGTTCTTGCCTAGACAAGAATGAAATATTTAACAATGAAAAAATAAAAGCATTCATTTCCATAGGCCATTTATCCCCTTATCAGTACGTCTGCAACTGTAACATCACTTCTTTGAGTATGTTTTTGGGCACTTTTTCATTTGATAGTATCTGGTGGAGAGTTACAGGAAATGTGGAGAGAGGGGGAAGGAGATGACATGCAGCAAAACTCCTCGACCTGATATGAACCAAGGATGTTGTGATTACATAAACCTTAGAGCTCTAACATGGACAACCAGGATGACCCCAACTGTGCCATTATATGGCAACCACTGTGGAAAAATTGTTTCCAGAATCATTCCTTTGTTTCAGTCCCGGTAGTAGATATGAAACTACAGTATATCTGGGAAGAATGAAAACATCCACACTGTTTTATAATAGAAAAACCTAGAGAGAGACAGAGTTTAAGAGGGGCAGAAATAAAAAATACACTGGAACAATATTGAAAGCTTTGGGTCCAAAAAGGCCATTTTTAATGACTGCTGCTCTGCGCTAACCTTATGAGTACAATGAAGTAAGTGTCCCTTACAATTATTCAGTTTATAAAATATTAGATAAACAGAATACCTGAGAAATAGCCTATGTGAAACACAATAAGCACAACTGATGTGATTTGGCCAGACTTCAAAACCTCTACAGACACTGACGGAGCTTCTAAAAAGAATGAACATACTCATCTTCCTGCAGTTGAATCTGTGTTTTCTCATCTGAGCCGACATGCAGATTCCCTACTGGATTACACAAACTATTTTAAATGGGTTTCCTGCTGCCCACAGGAATTCAGCCATCCCACTTCATTATTACATCCATCCATTAGCTACATCGCTTATCCGGTCAGTTTGTGCATGTGTGTGTGTGTGTGTGTGTGTGAGTGTGAGAGAGGGGGTGGAATCCACAGGTAAGGACCTGAGCACAGGGAAAAACCAAGTCACACTGTGGTTGAACATAAATACAGACTGAGTAGAGCTACTGTACATGACCACTAAAGCACCAAGACAGCCAGACGGTATATTTAGTAGCTTCAGAGGGACCAGCAAATCCAAGCTTGTGGAAGGCAAATACTAATCATGACGGCCTTGATCAGCAGGATGGTTCGAAGGTGGCTGTAAAGTAGCAGTCAACAGGCCCTGAGGCCTGTGTTTAAGTCATTAAAAACACGTCAGGTAATTATGAAAGAGCTGAGACTTTAAGCGCATCTTTAGACTCATCATGAGCGAGTTGACGTATCTGCACTGTGCACACGAGGTGTGTTATTATATCAAAGTGTGGCTTAGCTTTCACTGACACACTCATCTCATCTGTAATTAGCCCACAGCTGTGCTTAATGTAATACACACTGGCAGATTTCACAACAAACAACCAGAAACTATCACTTAGATACAAGAAAAACAGGTGACAACGCAGATGAACCACACTTAGTCATGTTAATCAAACCTACTGTAACCTTGAAATACATGATGTAAAATCTTTTAAATGTAGGATGCTGAATGCTAAATTATGCAGACGCATACAGATCAAATAGTTATCACTAATTGGGACTTTGAAGACAAAAAACCATATCCGATGTTTGAGCATATTCATATGATGTGCAGCTCTGCACACGTCCTATTAGAAAACCTTTGATGCTCTGAATGTCAAAACTAGGCAGGGAAATTATCAGTTCATGCTTTAAAAAAAAGGACAATTTTGCTGTTGTCCATGACTATTAGACATAAACACTGACAGCTGCCTCAGAGTCAAATTGGTTCAGTCAACAGGGAAACTCAAAGTTCCTGCAACTATGTTCTATTAGTTCATCAAAAGCATTCTGCTGACGCCATGTAGATCTTAGCCAAAAGCAACGTGAACAACTGGGCTCCAGGTAAAAGTGAGATGACAATTTGTAGTTTTACAAAGACAGCTGTTGAGCTGACTGATGTGTATTTTCCATTCAATCACCAGGAACGGACAAGATGTCTTTCTGCTGAGAGAAAAAAGATGCTCTGTGTACCCTGGCCAGCACAGGAACAAATACACAACCACTGAGGTCATTCCTACAACAGGAATAGTCAGGTTAAATGACTGGTTTTAACGAGATGGCAAATATGCAGGAAACAGGGTGGTAGTGGTGGTGGTGGTGGGGGTGTCACACTGGTACTCACGTACACATACAGCATCCTGCCAAAGCAAACCAACATAAGAGCTGGGCGGGCATTTTAAAATTTGGCTCCATTCATAGCATCCTCCCTGTTGGTGAGTGCCAAATAAAATCAGCCTTATGTACCAGCGGGGCACACCCTCTCTGAAGCTGAGCTAGATGTAACAACACATAAAAAAATACATTAATGCAGTAATTTCTTTATCAGGATATGAAGACTTAGACTCTCAAGAGGCCAAAATAAAACTACATGTTGGACCTTACAAATCAAATCCACTCATCAGACACCCCCTCCCTGATGTACAGTAGGATTGTTTTTCCACACCAAATCCAGTAAATGAGGATCCAGGAAGGAGGCAGATACAATGGCCGGTTTGTGAAATCTTCCCTAATGCTCAGTAACCTGAGACCTTCAGCTTGAGTCTAAACACTCTGGCAGAGAACAGCAGCCGCTATAAACCGTGGGAGCTACGGTGCATGTTGCACACAGTCAGAAAGTATGTTTCAACATAAAAGACTGCTTGTTAGGATGGAATATACAAATGACTGCAGGAACTGTCAAACTGTCTACATGTTGCAAAGAAATTCTCCATGCTTGAATCTTTTCAGATGTGTTAAAAAAGCAAGGTGTGTATGCAAGGCCTTTCAAAATAGTGAAAAATACCCAGTGAAAGGCAACATCTTTAAATTAATTCTTGTCCAGTGAATAGCTCTAAACCCAAAGATATTCAATTTACAAAAGATATAAAACACAAAAGCATCACATTTGACATGACACTCTTGAATAAGCTAATTTTCACCACTAATCAACTCCAAAACCAACTAATTGTCGAAGCCCCTCTGTCATGTCAGAAAGAGGCTCACAACAGGACAAATATCAATATGAACTGACACTCCACAGGCCATCTTACACCCTTTGACAGCTTTGTTTCATATAAATACAAGCTACTGGTTTGACAGAGGTACTGTATGCCAAAACTCTATATTAGCAAAGGAAATCAATTAGAAAACAGCCGTAAGAATGTTAGTAACAACTATATATAGCCTAACATGAGTGGAGAGAAGCAAAGTTTAACATCTTAATATGATTCAAGAATTACTGCTGACAACCAGTTGATAAAATGATCGACTACTGTGTTCACTTCGAACAAAGACAGAGCAGGATGGAGCATCCAACAGTGAACAAAGCAGATTGTCACATTACCATCTTCCTTTCTGCTGGTGCTCCAATGCATCACAACAGTAGTGCTTTCTGAAATAATCCAAAAGGAGTGATGATCATCTACAGAGCTGCTGCTCCTGCTCAGTCGCTGGCGAACTAATATCAGTTCCATTCTGCCCAGACAGATCAGAGTGAGTGAGTGAGCACAACATTAGGCGAGCTGGATGTTCAGCTGAGCCACATCTAGTCTGAATTTCTTGTTTCCTTTCCCTCTCTTTCTCACCGTGTCTTCGATTTACTGTGCTCTTTCTGGTTCCCTGTCTCTGTGTTTGCACTTTCCCTGTCGCAGCACCTTAACTGCCAGGCGCTATGTTTGTCTGGGAGGGCAGCGTGACCAAACATGAAGAGAGGAGAGAGAGGAAAGGAGAGGGGGGAAGAGAGGATCGAGTCTCACAGTAAATCCAAGAACATGGAAGCACACATTCTTAATTTTTCCTCTGGGGCATCGTCTTAGACTATGCACACACACACAAAACACACAGAAGCTCAACCATATGATCATAATTAACTTATGAGGCCAACAAGAAACATAATCATTGACACCAACAAACAGCTGCCAGCCAAAACAAAATGATACACCATTTCACAGTGTGTGTGTGTGTGGACATTTTGACTGGCTCTCACAGCTTCAAAGGGCTATTTGAGGATTAAGACTTGGTTTTAGGATTATGGTTAAAATTAGATTTAGGTTACGGTTAGAGTAAAGGTTGTGGGTAGACATTTAGTTATCATGATTGAGATCAGGATAAGGGGCAAGAGAGTGTATTTGACTGTCTTCACAACTAAAATAGTAAGACCAGCATCTGTGTGTGTGCATTACTCATGTTGTGGTTGGTATAAATCTGTGAAACTGTCCGCATACTGTAGTCACCTGGAGGCTGCAGAGCAAAACCTGGTGCTCACAAGGTAAATCATTCAAATTAAGGGTTAAAACTTGGAGTCTGGTTAAGAGGCAGGTACCTTCTGAGGTTAGGCATATAGTGCTTATGGTGACACACAGACTAAGTCTCCAGGAAATTCATGCAAGTCTACATAATGTCCTGTGACAAAAGCGGTACAAACATGTTTGTGTTTGCTGGTGTTAGACCGAAGATAAACGATAACTAACAACCTATCTTTGCATTTGACTGCACAAATGACAAGAACATATATTTGTGTTTCAGTCAGAAACACTTCAAAAAACCAGTCATTTATAGCAAATGCTTACACAGTTAGAACTGATGTAAAAAGCTCTGCTGCATGAGGGAGCTCTCGTAGAATCAGAGCAGCAATGTGCAGTCTGCAGAGAACTAATCCCCTATGCATAAACATGAATCTTCTTTAAATCAAAGTACCACAGGAGGAGGAGGCTGGGGCAGTGGAAGGAGCTGTGGCAGCAAACACGGCATGAGCGTGATTGTCAGAGTAACAAGTGAGGAAGTGTCAGGTTGTCACATCTGTGACTGAAACACTGTAAAGCAGAGGGCAGCCAGTGCAATGTCAGCGCTCTGGCTGAACTAGCAGTAGGCTTCGTTTCCTATTTGGACACACAACAACTTAACCCTGATATAGTCTGTCTGCAGAGATTTTTTATAAGACACTCAATGTTTACACTGCTTTCTCTTCAAGTGTTACATACACTAAAATATTTTATAGACATTGTAATTATTTTTCTATCTTGCTTTCCTTAATTTATTAAGATCAAGAATGGGACTCTGAAGGGGCTTCCAACATGTTGTTAGGGAAATCACAACGGCTTAATAGTTATGCTGAGTGGTCATAAATAGACCATTTCAAAACAAATACTTCTAACAGACTTCAGCTTTTTCCTGAGCTACACACTGTGCATGTGTGTGGCTCTTGCACATGCAGCATTATGACTGTGAGCTGAGTTCTGAGCCTCAATACCTTCTGAGGATCAACTCAAATATGCCTGAGTACTGAAAACTGCTATGTACCAAAAATCTAGTGCAACAATTTCTTAAACACAATGTACATTATACATAACAGACATCCAGCAGACACATAGAAACATTAATTGTGTTTCTATTGTGGTAAATATAACACATTGGCATCACTAATGAGTAATAAAAAGGTACCATATTGTCATGTTTAAACAGTGCCTATTCCTAATTATGAGAGTGCCACTGATGGTTAATATGATGCACCAAGAACGTAAGGAAATATTAGCTGTACCTGTATCTCTTTTTTGTCCTAATGAATGAGAGTCGTGTGTCCTCAGCAGCTGAGAACAAGCCTGAAGACAAACATGCTTGCTGATGTTGTTGTAGTACTTAAGCTATAACTGCTGCCCTCATGTTCCTACACTTGATCTGCCTCTGTCTCACTCTCTGGCCCTCCTCTAGGCTCATGTTCATGAGCAGACTCGACTGGGTGATGAGGCAAATGTGCAGAAGCCATAAAGGGACACAGAAAGTCAGAGAGAGTGGCATCCACAATGTCCCCACTTTCCAGCCAGGTACCTTTGTTGCATGTCATAAAACCTTTCTCTCCAGTCAATTCATCTCTCCACTGTGAAAAGCACAACAGCCATAAAACACACCCCCAAAAATAAAAATGATTGAAAATCTTCATGTTTTCACCTTGTACTTTTGCAGGAAGAGAGAACATGCAAGCTCCACACAGAAAGGCACCGGGTCGGCCAGGACTCGAACCCCAAACCTTCTTGCTGGAAGCCAGATGGCAAATCAAATAACTCTAAACTATTCACCAAAGCTGTTTCTAAATACATCTAAGGTGAAAAACAGATCATGTAGTTGCTCAGCCACACCTTATGGGAATTTCATAATCCATCATGTCATCACCTTGACACACTACCAGATGTCTGCATCAAGCCTGTCCTCAGACATTTCACTCTGGCACATGTGATTATTAATTTGGCAGGCTCACTTAAATCATATAGTTTATACTGAGCTTGGAAAATGTTCAAAAGTAACTGTCCAAAGTCTCACATAGGATAAAACATGTTATAAAAAGTAGTAATAGCAACACATAGTACTTGGATGCATCTTTGTCTTACTCTTTGCTCCAGACATACAAAACAACCAACACAACAAGCCTGCTGCTCTGCATGTAATACTGGATTTATTGCTTTTGGAAGCAGTGCCGTCAATGTTAGACTGTGTCAGAAAGGATTTATAAAGGTGTGTGTGTTCATGAGCTGGTGTGCCTTAATACAATAGCCTTAATGGAATGGAGTGTTTAGAAGCTGCTAATCCCAGCTAGCGATGGGAACAAACTTCTATTTTTACCTCGAGCATCCTGGCTTAGGCAGCTAGCACCTCATTACCATTCTGTAAAACAGTTAGCATAGCTCAAGATGCATTCCTTCCAGTGAACAAGTAGAAGTCAGAGCTGGGCTGCACAGGAAATTCATAAAACTGACAGGTTTATGAGGAACTGACTGTGTCAGTGTTTCTTAAATTTTTTCATGGAGTCCTTGGAGATGCAAGGATATTTCAAGTGGTAAACAACCCAGGCATATGTTCAAGAGTGTGACTTCTATACAAACAGACACATAGGCAGCTGACAGCTAGTGAATCATGTCCATGATGTGATTTCCATTCCACAAGAAAATTTTCAAAACAATTTGGCTCTAACTTTGTGTGAACATTTCAAACTGCAAGCTCAAACTCATATTTCACCTTTCTCTTTTCTTTCTTTGTTGCCACTGTGCCATCAAGACTTTGAGAGGTGCGTAATTCAAGATGTGCTCGCTTCGACTGGCAGGTCTCTGAACACTTCAACAATCAGGTGTGGTGCTCTCCACCAGCTAACCTCATATCTACACAGGTTGTTACCTTAAAGTGCATTTCTAGATCCAAACAAGTAAATACAACTCCAGTTTAATAAAGCAACACTATAAGCACAGCGAAGAACTTATACATACAATGACCCAATTTGTGTTGTAGGAATGTCATTACACACTCATGTAGCATACTAAACTGTTCAGAATTCCACCGATTTCCAATATTATACCAATGTTAAATCTAGCACGGATGGGCAACACACTGGGCTAGAGAACCAGCTGGGGTCTTTAAACAGACCGAGTCATGGCATCTAGGCCATGTGATTTAACACTTGCTTTACTTGTAGCAACAGCTCTGGTTTGGGAGAGATGAATCGACCCAATGGGGGAAAGAAGGAGAGGTGTCTATTTTGGCCTTGCACCTGACTGTGCGACCCCTCACAGCCTCCTCTGTAGCTGACCCTGTTGGTCGTAAATCGTCACAAGCGAGGCTGATTGGATTTTTAAAAAAACATATTGTTCTCAGAGGTATGTGTCTGAAATATGATGCCTACAGGAGCTGTTTTGAGTTACAACTTTAAGGCAATCCTGTTCCTAATGATAGTAAGACTACTAAAGAAATACCAGTCCACATTGTTGACCCAGCTCTGTCCTGCTGGTGAGGTCTTACGGACCTTTATGTTTGACTCATTCATTACATGTTCCTCAGGCTGGTTCTAATGCTGTAACTCATATATGATTTAAATGTAACCCTGGTCTTGAATGTCACATGTCACAGCAGACCTGAAGAAAAACTTGTTGATTAAATCACCATCAACTTAAACTATTTGTTTGACATTCTGGGACAATAGCATGAGCACTGATAAATACAATTTTTAAACCTTGGAGCAGAGCCAGGCTAGCTTCATGTTTTCAGACAAATGATGAGAAACAGTGAGTCCTGAATGATGTCCAGCAAAGGCAGTATGTCCAGAGCCAAAGATGAGCCGAAGTCCACAGATAATAGCAGAAAAGATAGTCCATAAACATGGGGGTGTAACAGCACTTTTCATGGGTAAGCATATGATGGCAAACTGGCAACAGAGAGTATTAGTGGGTGGCTTAAATACACAGTCTAAATGCTGAGTGAAAACCTGCCTGATTGTTGATAGAAAGCAGGTGAGTGTGCTTAATGAAGCTGGATCAGTTCAGGGCATGAGGCAGCGGAAGTGTGCCAAAATAAGAGCGTGAAAACAGGAAGTCTGGCCAAGATAATGACAGAGATCATAATTCATGATCTTTATTTAACGTCTCATTCCTTTGAGCCTGTTTGTCATCATTCACTGTCGGCCCCTTGTAAACTGTTAAAAATAGACACAGAGGAGAGCAACAACAGCGACGGGGATTCAGCGCAGAGATGAAGGCATTTTTATGGGAACTGCACAATTTGACTGTTGCACATGAGGCTGTTGTTATTCTTGTACACACGTGTCTCACGTTTCACTTAAACCTTCCTCTGTGTGGCAGTTTAGAACTTAATGGTGTTCACCGATCATATATATATTCTATAATCTTATATATTTTTTCTGAAAAGCTTGATTTTCTCATCTTCCTCTTCATTTTTATGTTAATTTATTTGTGCAATCCAATTTCTATTTTTATTTTTTCTCTTTATATGCCTATATTTAGATACATTTCTTAACACGTCTCTCAAATGCCCATGGCTCAATTTGTGTTCTTTCTTTCAATTAAAAAATTTGTGGCAACATGTTTGATGCCGTGATTTGACATAAATGAAAGAAACTGGGGATGAAACCACCACCACCAGTCACCATCAGCTAAAACTAAAGCATATGCTGTACATAATAGATTAAGGAGGTCAAGTACTATTAAATACTTTGGTTAGCAAGCTGTCAATATTTAGATCCCTGAATGTGTTTGTCAGTGCTGGTGGTCTGCCCTGCAAAGTCCGGGCCACTTTCCCATGCTCGACTCTGTCCTGACAAGAACACACACACACTTCCAAGGGAGTATTTTATCTAATCTCTTCAAAGATCAGAAATAGCATAAAAACCTCAGAACATGAGTTCTTACATGTTTTCTTTGCTATAAATATTCTCACTAAAGTTTTTGTCATAGTGGATTCAGTGCTTGCTAAAGATAATAGATAATATGGATACAACTAAAATAGATTAAACGTTTTAGGTCTAGGCTGGGTGGTAAGCACTGACAGTCAGGGGGTTGGGGACTTTAAAGCAGACCTGAGACAGCATCAAGAGGCCAGTGTGTACATCTGCACTGAGAGGAGACAAGCAAACCTCCCCAACAGCTGGTTAAACAATGCACACATATGCAAAAACCTCCAGCCTCTTATTTATAACTTTGTCCACACAGCAGAGAAGAAGACCCAGAGATGGGAAGAAGCAGCCACACAGACAGACAGTGACAGCTGGTTACAGGAGTGAAGTCCCACAGTTCAGCTCACACAGGAGGAACACTGAACACTAGAACTGGAATAACTCAGGAACAGCTGTTCAAGGCTGCTGTGCTTTTTTTTTCTGGCTATTAAATACTTGTTCAACTCAGCCTTTAGTACTAAAGATAATGTATCCATCTTCCAAACATTCCCACAAGGAGTACAGGCCAGCGGCTTTTACACAGATATCTCATTTAACAAAACTCCAAGTAGGCTGTAGTTAATGAAGATCAAATATCAGACCTGCAAAGAGGAGTCGAATCACCAATCAGACTAATGTTGATTCAGAGGAGTTACACTTAGACTGCCCTTGTCTGAGTGTTGGCAGTGTTGTATGATATAAGATAACCTTTAGCTGTGCTGCACCTTTGGTTGTGAATATTGATTTTAAAAAATCCTAGCTGAGTCAAGTGAAGCTTTTTCACAATCAAACCGAGATCTGGAGCAGTAAGATGTAGTTAAATGCAGACATATGTGGATGAACTGATTACAGGATTGTGTCACTTCATCAGTGTCATATCAAACACTAGCAGTCTGTTTCCTACTTTAAAGCTAAAGTGCCTGGAGACAGTACAGACAATACATAATATGTGAATAAGTCATTTTCATTCATTTCAAATCTTAATTTGTGTGGTTCGCCAAAGGGCATCTTCGGACACAAAGTGTTTTACTGGCCCTTTAACAACTTTGTCTGAGGTTTAGCATTTTAGGATGAAATAAAACACAGACGACCTTGTTCATAGAGTCAAAGGCCATCTACGATCAGCACATTTCTGACAAACTTAACTAAGGTAGGTTCTCCCTACCTTGGGTGTCGCTCCAGGCAGTGGGCAGTGATGGAGTTACAGCAGGAACACGCCGCAGCAGCGCTGACAGCTCCGGGTGCCAAGCTGCGTCTGCGCGTCTCTCTGTGCCTGTGAGTCCGCCCTGAAGTGTTGAGGTCTCCTGTTCAGTCCTGTAGTTCAGTTTGGCAGCGCCTGTCTGTGCCTGAAACACGGAACAGCGGGAGCGTGCAGCCTAAGTGGAAATCACTGCTTCTGGAGGGGGTGGCATGAAACCAAAGGGGGGTGGGAGGACGTGTCCACTGGCCTGGAACCATTCTAGGCCACCTTAAGTACAGGCTGAGGTCACTCACTCATTTATCTGTCAGTTTTAACATTGCCCCTTTGATACATAAAATTATTCTTGTAAAATTAAATTAAATTAAATGCAAAGTCACAATAACTAAACTGCTGAAAACTAAATAAAAAAGAATAACAAATATAGAATTGAATCATAAAATTAACCAAATAGCTGATTTATAGATTTTATATCTGACTTTTTTTTGCTGTCAAATGGTAAATGAGAATGAATTTATTATATTTATATCACAAAACAGGATGAAATGGGCTATTAAAACAGAAACCAGCTAGAGAAGATGGAAACAATTCAACACAATAGGAAAAGCCAGGGTAAAAGTCTTTCTGATGTACTCATGAAGAAAAAACCTTTAAAAGTCTACAGCACTTCATACAGTTGGAACAAATTAGTTGAATTACAAGTGAAGTTAACTTGACGTAAGAAAAGTCCATTTTTCCCCACACACTGTACAGTATGGAGACGCCACTGCTGTTTATATTACCACTTCCCTTCTCGTGGGAACGATGATGAGCACAAAGGAAGTTTCTTTATGGAGTCAGAGGTTGTAAACACAACAGAGAGTGTACATACTATACAAAAAACCCCACCAATCACAGTGAAGTTGCACACTGTAGTCCAGCTACTGGCTGGAAAACAACTGGACTATAGAAGAAGAAGAAACGAGTCAGTCAGCCCATAAAGTGGCTTTTCATTCAATGACATTTATAGCTGTGGTATAATTCTGTTATCCAAGCAATCCTTCTGACCCAAATGACTTCCTTGAACAAAATTCTTTCTACAAGTTTATTGAACTTTTTACTACAACACAATGTTTCACACACAATACAGCATAGATATGATATATACAGAAATGTTGCATGGTGATTCTTCACATAATCATGTTGATGCTACAGTATAGGTATAGAGAAATAAATGAAACAAACATTTCTTTGAACAAAGTTAACATGTGCCACTCTTTTGCATTTTACTGTCATGGCACGCTATTGTACTTACAAGATTAACAATATTTTGCAAATGTGTTTAAAATATGTTGAACTGAGAAAGTGGAACAGCAGGTGACATACACATTTCCTCCTCCTTTAAATTGGTTTATTACATTTCGAACATGGTGTGAAATAGAAGGACTTCTTGGACACATACATTCGTTAGGGTCTGACCAGGGTGCGGCTGTGGGGTTATTTCATTTTGAAAGTCATGTGCTAGAATGGAGATTACATATGTGTGTGTGTGTGTGTGTGTGTGTGTGTGTGTACAAAATGTTATTTCTGTAGTATTAAATTCATCATCTTGTTCCTCTGCTAAGCCTTGAAGAACACACACGCATTGTGATTGTTCATTGACCTTCACATACTTTTAAATCTGTGAGGAAGACGGTGATGGTGGCTGTGGCTGTGACTGTGAAGCCCTGAGATGTTGTTAATGCCACTAAGAACATGATACTAAGCAGTGCCATCGTGAATGAGGCTATTAAGGATCAGACAAGTGGGGAGGAGCACAGAGTTCCTATCTGCGCTAATTTAGAACAAGTCCGGTCGTGCAATGTAATATATCGAGAAATAAATGTGAAAATTCTGTTAAGTAAATAGGAGCAGATGCTCAGTCAAAGTCAGAACAGTCAGATCAGAGATGACTTCAGTGGCAAAGAAGGAAGTCTGTTCAAAGTGTAAACACAAAATATAAATGGGAATCAAAATTACAGTACTTCTCTTTAGTTAGTCGTCATGCATGATCTATGAAGGTGCATTCAGCTTAAAACATTATTCACTTTTCCTTTTCATTTGTATTACGCCACTTATTTATTCATTCCATTTATTCAGTGACTCGCAATCCAAACACATCCATCTCTTTATAACCTCCCTAAGACATGTTGGTTTCTTCTATCCTGATTGGCTGGTCAGGATTTCTAACAGAAGAATAACAACACGACTCGAGCTACAAACATCAGATAAAATGTCCCAGACTGGTGGCTGCTCAGCTGGGGACTAGTGTGCACATTCTCCCTAACCACTAAACTTTTAATGGATCTGATTAAAATCCTGAATCTTTAAATAGCATCTACTTTATACAGTCTTAAAATGTTCTGCAATGTTCCTACACTTCAACAATGCATCTTTAAATTAGGGTACTAAGGATGAAGGCATCGTCATTTAAGCCTTAAAATGAAAAACATTTAGGAAATTGTTTTTTATCAATGTAATTATTTCTCCTTTGACAATGAACTTGATGTGGTGAGCACAAACTTATTCTGGATTTCTTATTCTGCTGCAGAAGGAACTTTTTTGCAATCACTGTTTCTATCCAGCTCTGATCCTGTTACATGATAGAGAAAACTAGTGCTTTAAAAATAGCATTTAAATCTACTTAGAGCTATTGGTGTACTAAAATCACAACTTTCTCTAGAAACTCTAAGATCAACCACTATTTGGCTTTTGAAAGGATGATGTCTTAGTATATCGTAACAAGTGTATAATAAGTAGCTCTGGAGGTAGTAATTACAAATGTATGCACATGCTGGCGTGCTAGTTTGATTATGAGACGTCAGCTGTTAAGGCTTGGTAAGAAGGCTCACAAGATGTGGGTGCAACACAGGGAGGAAGCCACATGAAATGGATATGGGCAGCATTACCTGAAACATACAGTGACATCATACGACTACACCATCACAGTATCAAAGAAATCACAAAAGGTTTCCTCTGTACACACTGTCTGGGCTGGGTTTCCCTCACACATTTTGCACAGGACAGCCTTTTCTAGTATACTGAAAATAAACCCAGATGTGTTTAGTTTTTTTTTGTCATTTTTTTCAGTGGTAAAGCCACAACAACCCATTCCTGGACTCAAATTCAAGTTTAAATAGAAAACCTAAAGCACTGAGGCTTAAATCAAGATAAAAGGAAACCAGCTGTCTCTTTCTGTAACATCGGTGGAAGTTGATCAGGCGGTTCATTTGCGGAACGCCAGCTACAGACTAGATTCATGACACATGCAAAGATACAAAAGCTAACCCGCTAAGCGACATGCACGCAAAGTGTGTTACAAGCTGGCGTTACACAATATACTCTTATTTATGACAGAGAAAAAGGTCATGTCTGCCTACAGTATGTCATCCACATGATGCCCTTAAGAAGGTGTTGTGGGGGATGGTGGAGGCTGTACATTCACGCAAACAGGTGCTGGTCAAAAACTTCTACAGGAATATACAGCACTGTTATTTACAACATGTGTGCACTAAGTGATCAGGAATGGAGTCAGCCCCGCTTCAGTTCACCCACCTCAGGAGGTGATCAGTGATACCTAGTGACAAACTGATTCGCTGAGGGCTCAAAGAGCTGATTAGGTGGATGCTCTGTAATAATAATTCTAAAAAATGATTTATTTCTTGCACTGACTGAACTGGAGGGGACTGGACCCCAAACCTGAGGGTGAGAGTGGTCACCATAGGAGCAAGAGGGACAGATCTTCATCATCATCTTTATCAGTGATGCAGTGTAGGGACAGGGAGACAGGCTGCATGCGAATGGGAGGGGAGGGTCCTCAGATGAGTACAGTGTTTGGTCGTCTTCTGGAGAGAGACAAGAAAAGGAAGTCATCGTTTGGAGAAACACTGAAATGTGATTAAAGTTCAAACTGAATGTGTGATTATTGATTGATTAACACCGAACTGAAAAGCTGTGATTTGTTGCCCTCACTGGTCAAAAGGTCCAGGAAGGTCAACAAAAACATTTTCGGGGGTGTTGCTTCAATTTAGCTGACATTTTTATAACCTCTGTAAACATAATTGAGTCTCAGCAACTAGAAAAAATCTTTCTAAAATGTTCTGGCTTGCTCTGGAAATGTATCAGCAGTATTGCATATGTGTGTGTGATTCAGTGTACTTTGTTAGTTACCATGGCATTAACTTGCAGCAGTCTCCTGCTGCATGATGTAGTACCTGTTTGAATCATCCACCTCACTGCCACAGTGAACATCACTCCTGTTAATGCAAACACATCACTCATAAATCGTACACATGTACAATTAATGATTAAATCAGATTTTTCTATTCACTTCAAACCAGGTGAGCTCTTAACTTAAGTTGACCTTAAGGTGGTCAGAAACAACAATTGGCTCAAGCTCAAGCTTTCTGTTTACTGACATCCTCACCTGTTGTCATTGATGTCTCTCGTTCCACTGGTGCTGTTACCTGTTGGGAGCAAACCGGTGGTTAAATGACTTCCTGATGCTACAACAAACAGCGCATGCATCAATATAAATACAAGGAATTCTGAGCTCCTGGCAAATAATCTCTCAGACTCTTCGGGCATGTCAATGAAGTACATGTACAGGTGCATGCGTATATGCTTATGTGAATATTAGTTACAGGCATGTATGTGCTCTTGTGCTTACCGTTGTCAATGGTCAGTGGGTAGGACTCCAGAATGTCTCCATTATATCTGCCTGCTCTGTAGCCCAGTGCTGTGGAAACTCTGTGCAAAAAAACAAACAAACACTTATGTTACAATTAACAAGTGACTTGTAGGGTAGGTACAATGTACAGTTAGTTGGTGTGATTTTTCTGCACTATTTTGTAGTAATGTCAAGAAGGGCAGCTGTGGCTCAGGAGGTAGAGTGGGTCGTCTTCTAACTGGAAGGTTGACAGTTTGATTCTTGGTTTCTCCAGATCACATGTCGAAGTGTCCCTGAGCAAGACACTAAATGGTGATATCACCAGTGTATGTTTGGGAGTCCAAATGGGTGAATGAGCAAATAGTGTGAAAGCACTTTGAGTGTGCTGCAATGCATAAAAACGTGCTATACAAGTATAACACCATTTAGGACTGCACCTGACCTGCTTTATTTTGTGATAACAGTGCAGACTGAGTTTGACCTTGAAAATAAATCATCATGGACAGATCTGACTTTTAAGCCATGTAATGTTTAGATGGAAAAGGTTGAAGGCTATATTTAAACTCACGTGTTGCTCTGGACAGAGTTAGGGTTGCAGTTGATGCTGGGAGCGCTCTGCTCTGCCATTTTGCCGTGGAACAGGGCGTTGCTGTAGGTGTTGGCGTGTTCAGTGGCTCTGATGTAGCTGTAAAATGGGTTTGTGGGAGAGCAAACTGCCAGCTGCTTCGGTCTCACTGGCTTGGCTGTTGGGATGATAAGAATATGTTAGGTAAGGTACAACTGTAATGAAACTGGGTCACGTTATTGAAGGCTAAATAGGTCAAATAAAATCAAAACATTTTATTCCCATTCCCCTTTAACAACTCAAAGTAAAACATCAATCAATCAGATTTCAGTGCAGTGCAGTACCAATCTGTGCTGCATGGGGGCGCCGCAGGGCATTCTTGGCCCTCATGGCATCCTTGATGCAGTCGACTTCCCGCTGGTAGCGACGACGGTCCATCATGGCACCCTCCTTGGCGTCCCTCAGTGCAGTCTCCAGGGCCTTAACTCTCTCAGCAGTAGACCGAAGACGTTTCTCCAGCTTTGGAAGCTCACAACGCAGATCTGCATTGTCACGAACCAGCTGGAGTGGAGACAGACATGAAACAGTGAGGATAACTGAAATATAAATGAAAGAGAGTCACTGTGAGGAAAGAAGAGGACAAGTAGAGCAAAAGCAAAAGGCATGGCCGGGTACAGCATTTTAGTACACTGTTTATGTAAAATTTTACTGCTGTCATGATAATAAGAACAAATAACAAAAGGTCACTCAGTTACAATAATTTGATGCAATATAATATCTTTCCATTTGATATTCATCTCCACTACCTATTAGAAAAAGACTTTTCAGGCCAAGAGCTGCATAATTTACTTACAAAAGTAAAGTTTTCTTGTCCTGTCAATTCTCACCTGTTTGTGAACCTTTGTAAGTTGGTCCAGGTTATTCTCAAGAAAGGAAATCTTCTGCTTCTGGGTGCAAGACCCCCCGCTATCATCTGGTTCCATTTCGGAACTCTGCAGTGGAGACAACGAAGGTAGAGGAAATGAAAAAAAAATAGAACAGAAAATAAAATAGAAAGCAAGACAGAGACTTCCGAGAGCTCCAATGGATGTAAGTGACTAATATGTGACCAGGGTTGACTCAAGTGTTTATAAATACCTTTGACCCACAAATTACTTTGTGAAGTGCTTAAACATAAAAAATCCTGAGTCAGTGGTTTCTCTTGTCATCTTTGAGCTGCTTACTTTTTTAATCCCCTGATCTACACTCAGATTTTCATCAGTGCTGCACAGCATCTGGAGATATTTCAATCAGTAGACATTTTTTGGCAACAAAGGAAAAGAAGAATAATTATTCCTTTGGTATTTTGCATGGTGATACACTGCCTCCCTGAAAGGCCTTTCTGTTGATCCACAACTCTAGACAAAAAGTGAATTTCATGTGTCATATACAGGAAATCAAAAGGTCAAAAGGTTAGTGGGATGGGGACTGCTGTTGCTAGGATACTGAGGTTTGTCAAAGGAAATTGAGGTCACATATTTCTTAGTACCCCCTTAAACATAAAAAATCCTGAGTCAGTGGTTTCTCTTGTCATCTTTGAGCTGCTTACTTTTTTAACCCGCGACGTGAGGTCTTGAACAAACAGCTTGCGCAGGTTGTGAAGGGTCTGGAGTTCGCGGGCCTGGAGGACAAACAGAAGAAGAGAAGGTGGGGAAGACAACTCTGAATATAACGATATAAGACTAAGGCTTTACAAAAGAAGGAAGAGCAGACTGAGGAAAGACAAGAGAGACACAGCAGGGGACAATGTTTCAGAAAACACATGATGTATATTTTACTCACGACGGTCTCCTCCAGACCCTTCAGGTCCTGTTTAGTCTGCTCATGGCGCTCATGCAGGAACCTGACAGAAACAGCAAAATCATTATCATAAATAAAATAATATTTTGGTGACCTTATAGGACAGTGTAATATGTATGTGTTGCCGACAGGTGAGATTTGAGTTAAATCTTGAGTCCTAAAATGTTCTCTATCTATCAAATTCTCTATCCTCCACACACATGACCATGAAAATGCCACCAAAACTCATCAACAGTATACTGAGCCTTTTTTTTTCTGGTTGTAATGTAATTTTCAGTCCCCACATAAAGTTTTTCACATAAGTTTAAATCACACTGAGTATGAGAACATGAACACTTACGAGAGCTCCTCCAGGCGCTCGCTCTTGGTGCTGTCCTGATTCCTCAGACGTTCAAAGTCAGCGCGAACCTGGGCCAGCTCCAGCTCCAGCTTGGAGTTACGACTGTAAAGCGGCCCCACACATGTTCAAGAGGAGAGAAAGAAAGGGAAGGATTTTGATCCCAGCAAACCTGCTAAAGTTAACACTGCAACAATAATAACATATAATGATAGTAAAAAATTTGATCACAGCTATAGAATCTTTGTGTAAGTAAAAACAACAAATTAAAATGGTCACAGACTCAGTCAGTTCGTCAATGATCCTCTGCTTCTCATTGATCTCATCACGCAGGCGCGCCAGCTGCTTGTGGTGGAGGCCGCGGTGAGGCTCCCCCTGCTGGCGAAGAGCCTTCTGTACATGAAAAGAACAAATGCATAGTGTCACCTGAAATGTGTTGGGTTCTGCAGTAAAACCTGAAAATAAATGTAAAGAAATTCACACGAGGGTAAAAAAAAAGAAGGCAGGCCATCATGTAACAACACAGGGGAGAAATAGTACAGAAACAGATGCCATAAAATACAGTACTACACTACCAAAGTACCTATAAAGCTGTTTACCTTCACACTTCCATCCTCAGTCTCACCCTTTTCTCCATCCTTCTCATCAAGCAGGGAGTTATCTGGTAGAAGAAAAAAGAAACAGGGCAGAATTACAACCTAATAATTCCCAAGTAAATATAACAGCGTGTATAATGTTTTGTTAAAATTCATTTAGGAAGTTAGGAAAACTATCCCCTAGCATAATATTCTATAACTGTGTTAATATTTTTGAGTGTGTGTGTGTGTGTGTGTGTGTGTGTGTGTGTGTACATGTGTGACATGCATGTTACCCTGGTCTTGCAGTTTGGCCAGCTCTTCGCTCAGGGAGTCATGGCTCTCCTCCAGCAGCCTCTTCTTCTGCTCCACACTCTGCATGTACTCCGTCAGAGAGCGGATTTTAGCCTCGTGCTGTACAAATGCGAACACGTAACACACATGAAACATAACATAATGTGATATAAAGACCCACAACAAATGACTCCTTCATTTCGTCTTTCACCAGTTCTTCTGCTCCACGTTCAGTTTATCTTTGCTATGCATTTCTCCCTTTTTCCACTTTTTTCATATATATATATGTATATCCATCCATAACTGCATCTCTTCATGTTCTCTCACAGCACTACTTCCTTCCTGTCGTCCCTCTGTCCCTCACCTGAGAGATGAGGAGCTGGCAGGAGGAGAGCTCCCTCCCAGTCTCCTCCATCTTGCGGTGGCACTCCAGCTGCATGTTTTCCAGCTGGCGACAGCGCTTCACCATGCTCTTCACCTCTGATTTGATCTTGCTGATGTAGAGGCGAGCCACGGTGAACTCCTCCTCAATTGCACCACTGATCTCCACTGGCTATATAGTGGAAAAAATTAAGATTATTCCATCCATGCATCCATCCATTTTCTTCCGCTTATCCGGGACCGGGTCACGGAGGCAGCAGTCTAAGCAAAGATGCCCAGACTTCCCTCTCTCCAGACACTTCCTCCAACTCCTCCGGTGCAATGCTGAGGCTTTCC